GCCGCCGTGCCGAGGCATGGCTTCGACCTCGCGACTCTTCCTCTGGGCGCTAGGAAAGGAACGCAGAATTGCAGCGCTCCAGAGTCGCCCTCTTCCAGCTCTGCTCTTCTACGGTGGCGCTCGGGGTGGCTGATTTTTCGCCGACGAGATCCCGGGGAAGAACCAACTCCGGAGCCTCAGCTCCGCCTCCTGCCGCTGCCGCTGCCGCCGCTGCTACTGCAAACCGCCTGCCTCCCAGGCACCTTCCCTACTGGCACGGCCCTAGCTCTGCTGCCGCGTTTTCTCCTCCTATCACGTGATCCCCACTCCCCGCTTTCCCAGCAGCTGTGGTCTTTGACTTAAGACTACCTTTCTGGAACTGTCTTGATTCTCACTCTCCCCGCTTTAAAAAAGGAAGGGGCACTACGCCCACATACCTAATTTCACACAACGGGCTAAAAAAAACCCCTTGCGCTGGTGTTTCCTAATGGGTTTTTGGAGCCCCTTGGGAGTATGGTGCTCCTGTCCTCTTATTCTCCAACACCCACCCACCCCCCAAAAGAACTGAGGTTGGAAGAGAATGCTTCAAAGGAAGCAGCCAAAATCCAGTCCGAATTTCTTTCAATTGAGTAAAATCCCCAGCCGTGTAATTAAAAAAAAAAAAAAAAACTTTTTGCATGCCAAAGCATTTTGCAGATTAAATGCACAGTGAACTGTAAACCTTACTAAGCATTATTAAAATCTGTGGTTGCTGCCAGGATTCAAAGAGAAAATTTACCATGTATTTCAATAAGAGAAGAACGAGCAGACAATAAGTCTGTAGCCTTTCATACAGGCTCAGATGGGAGAAAGCCCCGTTATTCGGAGTGCAATTCACTTCCAGGTAAATGCATATAGGGTTGTGTTTTAAGTTTTGATTCTGGAAAACAAATATTAAAAGTGAATTTTGTTTCTTTTTGCCTTATGTGACAAACATTTCTAATGCATTGAAAATGTTGCTTTTATTTTTTATTTATTTATTCACTTAAAACATTTGTATGGCTGCCCATCTTAGAGCAAAACTCTGTGCAGCTTACAACCCCAAAATAAAACAATATATGCAACAATAAAAGAAACAGAAAATCCGGGCGCCACAGCCACACTTCCTTGATGTGGATGTTCCAAACTTCTTTCCCCTCTGTGACCTCACCGTCCTGCTGCTTGGGGGCAGAGCCAGGTCTTAATGCTCTCTGGAGGTTGAGAAGGTGGAGGCCTGTCAGATCTCAAGGGGGAGGGTTCCACAGGGCAGAGGCGGCAATGGAAAAGGCATGCTCCCGAGGACCCGCAAGTTGGCAGTGTTTCAAGGAGGGGACCTGGAACGTGCCAACCTTATCTGCTCTGGTGGGATGGGCAGATGCCCTTAGGGAGAGGCAGTCCTGCAGATTATGCTTTTCCCATAAAGAAGTCACTGATTAATAACAGCAACATTTCTATGACATTTAAAGTGATTTGGCTTTTCCAACTATTAAAAGTCATACAAAAGGCTGAACAGAGGGAGGGAGGGAGGAAGGAAGGAAGGGAGGAAGGAAGGAAGGGAGGGAGGAGGGAAGGGAGGA